TACGGGGCTTTACAATAAAGCAGAATTAGTTAACCAGCTTCCCCAAGGGACGCATGGCACCGCATGGATCGTGTCAGAGACACATCTTACCCAAACAGGTTGTGCCCAATTCAAAAAATCTCTTCTCCTTTCGAAAAGCCCATACAAGTTGGTCCATGGAGAATATGTACCTCCCAAATACAGTCACCAGTCACAGCTTGCAGTACGAGGGAAAGAACGGGGCGTTGGCTTTCTCACCACAACCCCTAGTAGAAGTCTTATGCATGATTGGCCGAGACAAGTCACACAACAACAACGTTGCCATGTGGCAGGGATCCAAATGGGGCAACTTTGGCTACAAGGGGGGGCATTTTATGGGAGTGCCTTTCAAAGCACGGGAGTCACCACTCGTGAAAATAACAACAGTCTCCTCACCCACATAGTGAACAGGCTATGCGAGGGAGCCAGAGGCCCACGCTTCTTGGGTGGTGATTTTAACCACTTCATTGATGACCTCCCAGGGGTTCAAACGTTGCGTCAACAAGGATGGGAAGAAGTGCAACATGTTGCATATAGAAAGTTTGGCCAAGAGATCGCACCCACCATCCAACAAAAACATACCAAAGATCTGCTTTTCTTGAGCCCAGATCTGATCCCTATGATCCGATCTGTCCATGTCGAATCCGACTGGGTAGCCAATCATTCGGTCGTGTATGTAGTCCTTGACCCACACATGCCACCACAGAAGGTCCCCATTTGGAAACAGCCTCGTCAAGTAGATTGGTCAAACGAGGACGATGATCATGCTGTCCCTGCAGAAGTCTTCACCTCCCAGGATAGCCAATCTACTGCCGAACAACAATACAGAACCATTTGGCAAACCTTTGAGACCTACAAAGTTCAACAGGCGAAACATCACGGTATCAACATCCACGGGTCTCAAACCGGTCGAGGGAATACAATTGAACGGTCGTGGATTCACCAGAATTTCGCGCCGCTCCGACCGTCTCGACCAGGAGGTTTCACCCCAGCATTTCATGGCCAAAATAATCTACATACACACTGGGTCAAGCAGTTGCGCAGGCTTCAGGCATTGTCACAGATGCATCATGCCACCCATGTGCAATCACCAGCCTGGATTGAACGGAAAATAGGCCAATGGAGGGCAATTAAAAGAGCCGCCGGATTTCGCCCCTCGTTTGAGCAATGGTGGAACCAAAAAGCCAAGCATTTGTTAGCTTTACCCACTGCCTTGCCAATTTGCCCTCCGGATGGAGACCTTGCACACCTCCTGGCGATAGACTTTCAACAGGATGTACGCCAGTTGGAGCAGATGCTCACCAAAGCACGGATAGACAAAGCCAAACAAGCCAGGCTGGACAACCCAGCCAGAATTTTCATTGATCTTCAGAAGCCCAGATCAGAGCCGGTTCAAATGTTGCTGGCCCACAAAGTGGCTACCATCGACAGTATAGATCATGCAGAGAGTGCGGTAGTTCTTGATTCAGCAAATGCTTTCGAGTGCTCCCAACCCATTGAACATAATGGTATTCCTCTCTCCATAATCCATCAGGACACAGATAAAATCTGGGTTGCAACCATGCCACCGGTACAAATAGGTGATACGCTCACCCAAACCAAGCCAATCCTAGAGCTTGACGACATATACACCGCCTTCCAAACAGAATGGATGGCTAGGTGGGATCGACATGCCAACACAATAGACTCTGCTTGGGAGCCCATTGTAGAATTCGTCCAACATGCATTCCCGTCCCCGCCGAGCCTGGAATACAGGCCTATCACATATGAAGTATGGCAAGCTGCCGTTCGCAAGAAGAAACATAAAGCAGCCATCGGCCCAGATGGTGTGTCCCGTGCCGACCTCCTGGCATTGCCTCCAGCCTGGGTCACACAAATCCTGAACTTGCTCGAAGCAGTTGAAGCTGGGACATCCTCTTGGCCACAACAGGTTGTCACCGGCCATGTGCATGCCTTAGAGAAGACGCCAAGCGCCTGGCAAGCAAGCCAATACAGACCGTTGACGGTCTTTTCGATTGTGTATCGCACATGGTCCTCAATCAGAGCAAGGGAAACCCTGGCTTATCTCAGTCGCTTCGTCACCGATCAAGTCACAGGTAACATTCCAGGTAAATCATGCACGGACCTGTGGCTAGGAATACAGATGCAGCTTGAAGATGCCATTCATGACCAACTACCCATGGCAGGGGTAGTTGCCGACCTCGTCAAAGCATATAACTTGCTGCCTAGACTGCCACTCTTAGCCATTGGGCTCCATCTGGGATTGCCTCGGCCCATCATTCGAGCATGGGCTAATGCACTCGCTCAGCTGACCAGAGCTTTCAGCGTAAGAGGCACAATTGGCCCACCGCTGCATTCGTCCACAGGCTTTGCCGAGGGATGCGGACTAAGCTGCAGCGCCATGCTCCTGTGTAATATCACACTAGCCAGGTGGCTCTTCTTTAGGTTCCCCTCCGTCAAACTGTGGTCGTATGTAGATAATCTCGAGCTCACTGCCACCTCCATTGCTGAAGTTAATAAAGGCCTTGAACTAATGACACAGTTTTGTGACCTCATGGACCTCCAAATCGACACCGCCAAAACGTATTTCTGGTCCAATGACGCAGCCGAGCGCCAGCACGCAAGGCAGGCACAACTACAACTGCAGTCCTCTGCTCGAGATCTGGGCGCTCACATGGAGTATGGCAGACGCCGAACCAATCACATCCTGCAAAAACGAATGGCTGCGATGCCCCAAGTCTGGGATGCCCTGACAGGGTCTCCTGCCCCATACAGACAGAAAGCTCATGCCATTCGAATGAAGGGCTGGCCTCAAGCTTTGAGTGCAGGCATGTCAGCTCCCATTGGGGCCGCTCACATGCGCACGCTGCGCACTGGAGCCTGTAGGGGTTTAAGAGTCCATGCACCAGGCATCAGTCCCATGGTTCAGTTGTCACTCGTGGAACACCCTCTTACCGACCCAGGGTGTCACTTGCTGATAAGCACAATCCAGGCATTTCGCCGCCATACAGACCTTGATCAAGCATGCCGCCTGCTCGACACACTAGCCTTCAACCACCTCCATCAGGGGCCCAGGCCCGGCCCCTGCCAAGTTTTGCTAGAGCGACTGCATCACATCGGATGGCAATGGTTAGGACAAGGGTGGGTTGCAGATATAGATGGAATACCCCTGGACTTGATGCACGGGGCACATGCAGAAGTGCAACAACGCCTCTTGTCTGGATGGCAAGAGTTCACTCAGCGGTGCGTCAGCCGACGCAAAACATTCCAGGGTATGGAATGGGTTAATGCCCCATTCACCATGGAACGATTAACCTCCATGTCCCCTGCCAAGCTAGGCCTTATGCGTAAAGTGCTAAATGGTTCATTCTTCACAGCAGACTCCCAATTGCACAACAAGAAAGCCCACCAACTTGTGTGCAAATTCTGTGGAGAAGCAGATTCCCAATTCCACAGATTTTGGGAATGTAAACAATTCCATACCGTAAGGCCTTTTCCATGGCTCGTCGAGCAGGTGTTGGCAGGAGGCTTACCCAAATGCCTCACATACCATGGATGGATAGGCTTACCCGCCTCAGTCCGCGCCTTGCAACAAGCTTTGGTTAAACAGCCAGACCGAACAGGGCAGTTCGATCATCCGCCGTTCACCCCTGTAGACTTGTTCCTCGATGGATCATGCTTGAACCCAACTTGTGTGTATACTCGAGTGGCGGGATGGGGCCTGATTGCAGCCGATCCGTCCGATATGTCCAGTTGGTGGCCATTGGCCCAAGGCCCGGTCCCAGGGCCCAGACAGACCAGCCTTCGCGCAGAGATCACCGCTGCCATAAGTGCCCTTAAGTATGTCATTCTCACCGACTCCACGGTGAGGTTATGGATAGATAATGCGCAAGTCGTAGACACCCTAACTCATGCTTTGCAGTCCCCAGACACATGTAAACTCAGCAGGAAAGACCACGACTTGTGGAGTTGCTTAGGTGCACTTGCACGACTCTCTCCAATGGTCGGATCACCGTTCACAAAGTCGCCAGCCACCAATGCCTGACAGGAGCAGACCTTGTGGAAAAATGGGCCTTCCAGGGGAACGACGGGGCCGATCATAGTGCTGGGCGGCGCGCAAGATACACTGAAGAAGTGTCGGGGTTGTGGCATCGCGCCACGGCCGATTTGGACGCAGCTAAACTCCTTCGAGAGCAAGTGCACCAGACCATGTTACTTGTAAGTGAAGCCGCTGTCAAACAAGAGGCCCCCCGGCCACTCGAAGAACAAGAAGAGGCAGCCTTCCCCCTCCCTCTACAGGAGGTAACGATGGGGGTCCTTCCATCTCGCCCACAGACAAGCAATGATAAGTTAGTAGGCACCAAGTGGATGCAGATCTCACAGTGGGCAACCAGTTTGTTCCCTCCGACGGCCACTGTAGTCTTCATTCCATGGTTTTATCTTTACATAGACTTTGTCTTGGAAACTGATTTAGGAGGGCCCCAGCCTGCCAACAAGTACAAAAGATGGCAATGGATGACACGCCCTGAAGCGGAAGAACTGGACATCTTCTTGCGCACCAAATGGTTTCGCTTGCTCCTGATCCAGCTCTATAAAAATGAGGGCACTCCTTTGTCATCTCAATATGTCCGTCCCTCCACACGGATGACAACTTTTTGGGCCCACTGTGTCAGCTGCCGTATGCACAGTGGTAGACTTCGAAGAATCGAAGAGTTTTTGCGCAAATTTCGTGCTGCATTCACCAAGGGAAGCGACTTGGCCTCCGTCACGATCTAGGTCGCAGAGATAGGGTTTCTGGTTCACCCCCGCCAACAGCCGCGGTGCCAGAGTCTTGCGGAAAAGCGGAAAAGTGGAGGCCATCGCTCGTAGGGTGGAGGCCATCGCTACTAAGGTGGAGGCCATTCAAAGGTGAGCTGACTCTTGGTTTGGGTGATTCGCCCAGCGAATGTCGGGCGACTTGCCGTCGAAGACTCCTGTGCCAGGCCGCAACAAATGATGGAGATTATCGCCAGCTGCTGGAGCACCACCGGTAAGGGTCCTCAAATCGCACCATGTCTCGTGCTATCAGCTTGCTGTGTCATTTCTTCCACAACCAGTTTCACTGTCCCGGCTAAGCAGAATCAAGCTGAATTCTGTTGAACCTGCCTAAAGAAAGTGCTTTTGGAATGATGTACCAACCAGATACTGGAAAAAAGAAAGAGTCTGTTGCAGAAGACTCATCATGTTTTTGCCAAGTGGACAGCTCGGTCGGTGTCACCATGTGTCACGTTCGACTCGCGCAACGTGAGGCGAGAGATCCGCGAACAACGCGAGGCTGCAAGACGCAGCTCTCCCGAGAGGGCCCGGCCCCTAAGTGAAGGCGGCATTCGGCGGCCCGAAACGGCCTGAGGTTCTTGCTTGCTCTGAAAGGGTCTCCCATGGTCTCCTCCCATTTGGCCCATCAGGTTCTTGCAACTTAGCGACCAAAAATGGATGGGGCTGACTGTTTGGGGTGCTCCAGATTTGTCGAAGATCGAATGGATGAGTCTGGCAAAAGCGGCCAGAATGTTCAACGGTATACATATGTCATACGTCCGGATGCCTTTGGCCAATGTTCAGAGGCCCCCCGATGATTTTTGACCGCTCACTGGGTTCAAAGTGGTCCCATGGGAGAGTGGCTGGTGCATTTGAGGATATTGTTACATGGGTCAAGTCCTCGTCCTCCGTTTGGTCCATGAGGCCATCACTGAGAATCCAGGAACCAAAAAAACCATGGAAAAACCTTGGGCAGTGGAAAGCATCGGTTTTGCTGAGGTGCAGCAGTGGGGCGTGTGGGCCAAATGAGCTGTTCTCGTCCAGGCGGGTGTGGCACCAGGATTTGCAGCGTCCAGCTACGCTGGGGCAAGACTTATTTGGGGGAGACTTATTGGAAGCTATTAGAAACAAGAAGCTACTAGGAACAAGTGCATCGCTTCTAGTAACAAGTGCCTTACTAGTAGTAACAAGAAGCTATTAGAAACAAGAAGCTACTAGGAACAAGTGCATCGCTTCTAGTAACAAGTGCCTTACTAGTAGTAGCAAGAAGCTATTAGAAACAAGAAGCT